TTGATATCATAGAGAAATTGAGCAAAATCATGATTCCATTGGAAGAGCTTGAGCTTGCAAGTGACTTGATCATGAAGATGAGACAAACGGAACAAATCACAAACCTAAATTGAGTTAATGTATGATGAAGTTAAAGAGAAGACTTTGTAATCTATTGACACCGCCAAATCAAAAAATATTGCATTGAGTTTATTGATTTCATATATGGACTCCAACACATATTTGTAATTGCCAAGTGAGTTGTAAAAGGTGTCGCTTCTAGGAGAGTGATTTGAAATTTTATCATGGACTCTAGCAACATTAACTGTTATAACCCAATATAATCTAAAACCTCAAAAAGATATATAATCTTTTCATCATTTTGCGACAGCGGCTTGCCTTTTTCTCTACTATGAGAGTTCGTCTCTAATGTTAAAAGAGTATATATCATCCACTAGAGGTTCGCGCTTCTAATAAGTTGTGAGACAACCACTAGGAGGAGTAACAATTTTTGACCATAAACCAAATTTTTGGGTTGAACCCTATTTTTGTGGAAAAAAAAATGCGTACTTAACCGGAAGATTGCTGTATCCGTGAGATCCCGTTAATTACGAAGTATTGTTATCCTACGGAGGATTCTCCGCATTACAGTTACAGCCACCTTACTGCAAACTTGAGATTTCTCTCCATTATCCATAATTTATAACGTTATCAACATACGAGAAAAAGTACGGTCAATGGGATTGTTCGTTCTAGTCATTAGCAGTCAAAGAATACTGGAGATTTCGTCATATTGCCAATGCTGATATCGGAGCGTGATATTCGAGTTAGAAAGTCCTCTCGAATGGAAGGCGAGGCAGATCTCGACCTGACAGAACAAAGAAGGAAGATGTGACATGAAAACGAAGCTTTACATGAAGCTAAATCATGTAGATCTCCGGCCGACCAGCAGTCCTTGCGTGTGCGGCGCGATTTTCTCAGAGTTAACTTCTAGAATCCCCTGTTCTTAGATATGTCAAGATTCTTCCCCGAAATCAGATACTATCATTGGAGGACGTTGATTTGTCATATCAGTCTCCATCTATAACCTCATGATAGTCCAGTACATGGATCTACTGAAGTTGCTATATGCTTACTTCCATGGAGAGCCGCAAATTCTTAAGCATTCAAGGCGTTAGCTCTTCCAATCATTAACAGAGCAGCTCTCCATAGTGAGACTTCCATAAGAAAAATTTGTTGGAATTTCCAAAGCATCAAATACCACTTCGACACCTTTAATGCGCTCCAAGATCAAGCAAGTCTGGATCAAAAGTTCTTTGATTTTCCAACTTGATTCGAAACTTGCTTCAGCGAGAGCATCCTGGTAATTAGAACAAGTAGTTACATGCGGAACAGAGTATTCATAAGTCGGCTTAAGGTTGTAACTCCAGTGAGATATTTATAAAGCAGCATTTAGGGCTGATGTACTTAAGAAGAAATCTCGTAATGTTGCAGGTCATCAAAACGTTGACAGCAATGATAAGGTTTGTCAATCCTCCAAAATGTCATCGTGAAACCTGTGAATTGCAATTCAGGAATCGTGGTGGATCAGTTCTGCTACTATTTTGCTCGTTGATCATCAAGAGCATACGTTCTTGCTATGCTAAACTCAGTGAACGTGATTCTTTTGCTTACAGTCATCTTAAACTTATCAAAAATGTAGTGGTGGATGTCAACGAACCAGGCATGGTCTCAAACTACTCTGATTCGGTGCTCACTTGTCTCTTCTCATTCTGCATCGCTTGCACTAGAGTATCGCATGTGCCCTATCCACTGTCATAAAGTTTAATAGGTGCAGGTTCTAGAGATTTACTTACATGAGCCAAGGGAACTCTTCCTCTATTCATTAGTAGACGGGGACGACTTTTTCTTCCTTTGTGGCAAATCTCTTTCCCAGTATACTCTCAGGCATCATGTTGTGCTTGTTTGCATAGGCACTGCTTACTGATTATACAACAGACGGTGCTAGCCTAAAGATGCACTTGAAACATCGGCCTGGAGTTGGATTGCCGACTGAGTAGTGTTCTTTGGCTTCTGGATCCGTATCACGATGACGAGATTGAAAATCGCAGCTGAAGTTCGTGTTGATTACAAGCTTACGTCGATCTGGACATGAACGTTGCCAGGATATATCTTCTTGGAGACATTACAGGGCCGACCTCTACAATTGCCAGTGACAAGCAGACGACTTTTCTGGATGATCGCAAAGCTAAAAAGAGACTTGAAACAAATTACGTGGAGGAAACTCCTCTCTTCACGTCGGCATTAGTATTTCCTGACGTAACTTCGCTCTGTTATGCGTAACGTTTATTGAATCTGTATCAAGGTACGAAGGAGAACGATTATTCTCCCCACAGCCTCCGCGATTGTGATGTGGTGAGTCTGGAAAGTTAGTACCAAAACTTGTCCTGATTTAACATATCTGATTTACTGGAATGCAATGGGACACAACTAAGCTTTTCAATGTACTTCTGCTATCTAATTACATCTAGTTTAGGGCTAAGGAGAAAGCCTACTTTCAAGCACTTTTCGTCGAGTGAACATCTGTAGAGATTAGTCTTATCTACTGTCCTGACAAAAGGCCCTATCAGAATATCATAAGTCTCCTCGGTTCTGGTTCTTCAGATTCTCAAGAAAAGACGAGTAGGGTAGACTAACAACAGAGAAAGTGATGGATGCCCTAGCAACCGTCTAATTTCGGTGGAAGTGTGCTTGGGCCTGATCCATTGATGTCACTAACCGCTTGCGTTTACCTTAAATCCTACGTTTGGCGGACTGGATCCGTCTGAGAATTGTGGTCAATTTCTAGTGACAATGTGCGAAGTTGTTTGTCATTGCTTCGGTGTGGACGTGATTTTAACTTGTTCCCTGTTCGGTCATGGCCCTTCTGCGAATTCGCTCTTGAATTGGGCTCCCTTAACTACCATTTCCTTAGTGTTGCATCATAGTTCCAAGAGAACTGAGCCAAATAATATTGCTACAAACTTCTCTTGGAGCTGAAGCGTCGCGTGTACTGACCTCTCGCTGTGCCAGGGCCGTTACCTACGGCGAAAATTACAAGATTTTTGATCAAATATCCTGTCGAAAGGAGTTTCAGATGCCCAAATGAAATCTGAGAGAAGCCGAGGCGCCACCTGACGAAAGCAATGAACCTCTCCATTTAGGTGAAAGATGAGACAAGTCAGGATTGTTCTGAGCCATGAGGAAGGTGAATGCAACTACCTTCGATTTCAGTCTTCTTTCGGGTGATGGGTCATATCTCAAAATTGCCGGTCATGATATGTTCAAATGTTGGGGCGAAGGATTCAACCAAAATCCATAGAAGGCTTTGGAAGGGAAGAATGAGGACGTGACCGATTGTTGCAGCAGAAGTAGATCAAAATCCTGCAGACTACTGGTAAGGAAATCAATAGAGTGATTGATGACACCGTGGACCAGATATGCCTCTACGCAAGTTCGACGTCCCCTGAGTTGGTTTCTGACTCTCCGGCAGAGATCTCTACAAACCTGGTGGATAACGGAAGAGACTTAGAGCTAGAGTAGGTCTGAGTCTAGGAATCCCAGGTTTGGGCACTACGTTCGGTAGATGTCCAAAACATCAGGGAATCGTGGGAAAACTGGGTGGACACAGAGCAACTGACCCACATGCCTCCATGATGGAAGACCTTCCCTTACTGGTTTCTCCTCGCTCACGCACATGGTCCAGGAAGGCGGCTGCTCCCAACGATTGGTGATTCTATTGCAATCTTCGCGAATCGATCGAGCAACAGCACAACCTTTCCTCTCTCTCGTCCGAGGACTGGTAGACGAAATTTTATAAACCAGCTATGGATGCAACGTCAAGAGATTCCAGATAAGTCCGGGCTCTTCTGTAAGACGAGAAATGCTTCATTGAATCTAGCAGATCACCCTTCATCGAAGCAACATAGTGCATCAGTATATGTAGCTGCGAGGATAGACTAGGATAGATTGTAGCACCTGAAGATGGGTATCAGAGGAAACAGCGTGACCTACGGCCTTCCTTGCTTTCGGCAGATTAGCGCCTCAGCTGGCAGCTATACCCCGACCTAGCTTGGACTGGAGCTCGATTATCTGGAAGAACATAGATCTGATCTCACACCTGTCACACAAGATGGCTAGAGGTAATCCCATTGGAGGTGCTATGTACGGAACTGATATGCCGACTCCAGCTTTCTCCCTGGCTGTGGCCATCGCTCTTGCTCTGTTCCAACCTTTGCCGAGAACGCAGCCGCAACAACATGCCCTGGAAATGGCACCTTACTCCTCCACGGCCCCAAGCAGTTAGCAGGACCAGGCCGGACACGGTGTACATCTGCCGTACCTGTGGGGCAGTGAGCGATGCATTGTACGGCATCACTTACCTGAACCGCTTGACGTTTCAGATGTCATCTAGCTCGCCATAGCCTGTGCATGACATCCCTGTCCCAATCTACGAAAGAAGTTCAAGGTCCAAAGGGCGCTGCCTGGACTGTGACATCGGGTTTGACGGGGCTCAGAATGGGCCGTGCAAGGACGATGAATTCAAACTCTTAAGATTGGCGGAATTGGTCAGAGTTAAAAATAGGTGCTACCAAAGGATCTTTCTGTTCAGTGCAAGAGAAGTATCTTGTAGTTCAGTGCAGGAGAAGATGGGCCACGCTCTCGTCTTGCCGAAAACCTTCACACGCATGATCAGACAGCGTTTGGCGACTGGGTTTGAAGAACTAGAAGTACGCGACAATTGAAATTGAGAGCGAAGTTTGGTATTAAGAATGTAGCACTTTGCTTGCTGGGATAGCTCTGGAAATTCGATGAGACTCTTCAACTTTATGTGTCTGAACCGAGCTCAGACGCATTTAAAAGACAGAAACAGACTGTTGGCACCGTAGGCTGTCTGATCGCATGATTCCTCCACTCGTTCGTGTGGGCTCCTCAGATGAAGTCTGGAATCATCGACTTAATACAAGGTCAGAAAGAAGACTGAGATATATACAAGCTTTTGATTTCAGGTTGAAAAACAGCACATGCCACAAAATTGCAACAAGATCTACTAACCGTAACCATTACTGACCTATCGCTGGTTATGAGTGCCACCTCCTAACACGAGCACAAACTGCTGCAGCGACTGAAGATCTAATACACAAGATGGCCACATGCTCTTCAGCTACGATATTACTACAGTGTATGTGCATTTCAGAGCCAATCTCTACACTGACCATCACTGCCGGAAATTATGTTACAATTCAAAGCTCAACAGTCTATGCTAATACATTGTTTGTCTTTGTTAAAGCAAGATCCGCAGAGAGGCGAGGGCTTCTTCTTTGGCTTGAGAGAATTCAGGCAGTCCTTGGCCTTGTCGAACAGGGACCGACTGTGAACGCCCGATGGCAGTCCAACGTAGTCGAGTTCCAAGAGCAAGGTTTGCGTGTCCAGCAGAGGAACTTCGATCTCGGTTACAAAACTGTCGCCGCAAGTTTCCACGACAGCTTCTATGCGAGTTCCCTTTTTGTGCTTTCGGAACTGCTTTCCAACCACCTTTCCCACGGGCGCCAAGATCAAGTCGGCGAGATTGAAGACCAGTTGATTGAACAGGAACTGGTTACTGATGAGGACTGTCACGATCTGTCTGAGCGATCTCGGTTTCTCTGAGAGGAAAGTCGAGTTGTAGCGGTTCACGGCGGCGAAGGTGCCTATGCTCTCCAACGGAGATTCGGCCAAGAGCTGCTCGAGGACATATCCTGGGTTGTCGTCCTCGATCTCTATCATGTGGAGGGCATTCGGGAGCGCCTCGCTCCACTTCAGTTTCCGCCCAGTGCGTGCATTGTACTCTTCGATCCAGCGAGCTATCATAAGCTCCCCTAGCTTATGTTGAAAGCTCAACACAAAGCGTACGCTGCGAGAACTTCTGTTCTCATCCAGGTTGCTCCCCTCCATGTTGACACAGCAATCTGAACATGCGCACTGATTCACACAACGCAGAACCTTCAGATTCAGTCCACTAAATTCCTCCTTACAACACTCAGAACACCCGTCAGCAGAAGGATCAAACTCAGAATGAAGATAACTCTAAAGGGAAGCACCATACGCAATCAGAAGGTGGAAGGAGTGAGGAAGTCGGAAGGAGCTGGCAGACAGTACACCGACCGAATTCCCATATCCCAATTGCGCGATGGACCTAGAGGAATGAGAGGAGGCAGCCGAGCTCGGCAAGCGGGTCGAGAGGAAGACTCACCTGCGAGCTAGCAGGAGTCAAGAACGGCCGTCTGGGGGAGGCGCTGGCACTCGCGCCTCGGTGAGGAGGCGACGAAGACGACGACGACGGGGAAGAATTTTCCTCGCGGATGTTAAACTGGTAGTCCAGAAAGTCGAACATGGCATCTCCCGCACAGACCTCGAGCGCAAAACTTTTGACACCGAGGCACTTCTCGGACGCCGCGAGCTCAATTCGGTTACGCCCACAGGGCCGATGCGACGCGACAGCAGACCAGCAGAGCGTCACAGTGTCCAACGCATTGTTTATGCAGCCTACCTTCTTTGCAATTCAAAGTGCTCGACTGGTGTGTCAGAGAAAGATCGACAGCAGCGCAGCAGCAGCAGCAGCAGTAGTAATTCAGCAGCATCGGCAAGCTCGACGGCAGAAACAGTGCCCTGAACCCCGCCAGCCCCGCACTCACTCACTCTCTCACTAGCTCGCTCGCTCTCGTCTGGGGGCTGCTGCTGCCGTTGGGGGGCCCGGGCCCCTTCTTCCTCTTGCTTGCATGTCGAACGCTCGAAAGCTCCCCTCCCCCCGCGGGCCGCTGCGCTGCCCGCGTCCCGCCGGGGGATTCAAAAGCGGATAGCTCGAGTGGGACAAGGTCGAATATCCGCCGAGGCGGAGGGACAAATTTAGGGGCGGGGGGTAAAGGGGAAGAGACAGACCGTTGGGGCGACGGGGTGTAATATTGGGCGGGTGCGCGGAAACTCGTGCCCGAGGCGCCGGGCTGCGCAGAGGGGGACGAAGCGCAGTCGCCCAACTTGCCCAGTGCATGCCCGGGGGGCGTGCTCTGAGCGTTTATGACGTCCGAAGGTCATCATTCTTTCGAGGAAGTCTTTTCGCGCTAATCAATGCGGAATAGTTAGTCACAGCTGCAATGATTAAAGAGGGGATTAGCGTGCAAAGCATCCACCACCGATTACGGATCAGATGCCCCGTCATTGAATCCTCCGTTCGGTTGGAGCCTCCGATTCCCTGCGCGTCGTGCCGAAAGCCCTCGCCTTCGCCATGCCTGGCTAGGGCTCGGCACATTTCCGTCGACACTGAAGAATAAGGGACGAAGTCTCCTGGAAGCATGCTCATGCTCACCTCGGCATCCGTCGGGAGCGCGGAGATTTCGAGACGACAATTTGAATGTCAGAAAAAGGAATGTGGTAAATAGCGGGGAAAAAGAGGATGGTTAGGACTCTCGGGCGTCGGGCGAGATCGAAGGGTGCTGTCGCTCTGCACGGGCACTGATCGTCCAGCCGGGCAAATCAGAAACTTGCGCTTTACCTACCGGAACGCTGGCTCTAAAGCAGCGCAAGCTTGGACTCGAGCCTGAGCGAACGGGACTCTGTAGCTGCACGGATGCATAAGTCCGATTCGGATATTTCCTGACATCTCTGCGAGTACTTTCCGAAAGTCGGCCTGAGGGATGTGGACGAAAGCAGGCTCAGCCTTCTGCCGTGGAATGGTAAAGAATTCCACGGGCAGCACTTTAGTGCTGTCAGGTCATGGGATGCGGGAGAAAAGTGGGAAAAAGCCGATTGTCAGGCGGGGGCCGTCTCATTGGGAGTCCCCTCGAATTGGTCTTTGCTGATCGGCTGCGTTCTCATAGATCGGCGAATCGCCTGTCTTCCAATGCGGCTTGGTTATCCGGGCATTAGCCCAGATTTTCGCAGCCAATATCCGGACCCTCCTATACGACAGAAGATATCACCATAATTACAATTACTTGGTTTCTTGTTGCCAGTTTCCCTTGCTTCGAATCTGTTTCTATAAGTGGTGTGGAGTGCGGAACTTCTGCTCGATGGCAATTATGCATTTTGTCATCATCGTTCCGGAAAATCAATTTATAAAAGTTGGCTACGCGTATCCACTTCTGATTCATCGAGGCGATATCTGTCAACTCTTCCACCTTCCTGGCAATCCAGCATAATCGCAGTCGCAATGCCCCCTCGCCTTTACTTCTTAGAAAACAGTCGGGAATCAGAGAATCCATCAATGAGCCAAGTCATAAGCGGCGCCCACAGATGCAACCGTGCACGACGCGGTTGAATAAATTCCTGTATATTATGCAACCCATCGGGTGCATCTATCGCATGCGTTTGTCGTCATGTTTTCATCCTCTCTCCCATAGCTCCCAGTTCTCCTGCATGTGATGGAGGCTTGGAGGTGCTGCAAAAGAGCACAAAACCAGGAAACTGTCTAGCGACCACGAGCAGAAAAGTGAGAAGATAGCCGAAACGTATTGATGTAGAACGAAGACAACGACCTCCTCTACATCTTTCTGGCCCTTCCAGCAATCATCACATCTTTCTGGTCCGTTTACTTCGCACAATCTATCTACGAGTTCGGTCCCCACTGCGGTTAGCCTGCTCACGGAAGATTCGATGGCAAGTGAAGCCTGGTATCCATCATTGGTCATGGACGGCAGAAGGATCTCGTTGCCTGGAAGGAGAAGTGTGGGTGGTCCCCAAAACGCAAGATCAGACAGCACACACCAGATTCCAATGGTTTTGAAGAAGCACACTGTCAGTGCCTCAAATTAGGCTTCTTGTGAGCCTGTTTTCGTCCGGTCAGAACCTTTGCTGTATTGAAACTCTATTTTCTTTTCCAGCGGTTGCTTGTCAATTGCCGACAAAGTCTAAGTAAGCCAAGGGATCTATGCTTTTGAGCCCTACCGCTGCGATCTCAATCTGAAACTGATGTGAGGTAGGAGCTCGAAAGTCACCTTCACAAACTCCAGCCCTCTAACCACACTTGTGCTCTCGTTACGAAGTCGCACCTCTCTGTCGCATCGAGGTATTCAGTAGGACCAGCGAACTTACTTCACAATCCCAGGCCTGCTTCGCTGCTTATAATATACCTGGCGTAATTGAGAGGAATTTTGTCCACTTAGACTACATTTCATCTGTTTCGAGCCAGTACATTTGTTTTAATGTTTCATCGGTCAGATAAATCCCGGCCATATTCAGAACAATTGAGCGATTCTGAGACAGATCCCCTCATGTAGGAACACGCTGCTCGCCCTGAACCCGCACATTCCACGGTCCTAGTCCAGACATTGCAGTCTCCCAGTACCCATCAATCTCGCCTGGTCTGATATTCCGAAGTGCTGTGAAATCGCAGCTCTCTAGGAACCGAAGCTATTTCTCCTCTATAGTCATGCCCTTCACACTCCACGCTCGTATATCCTTGTTCTGTCTTCCTCTCTTACTGATGCCTGATTTTGGTTTCTGCGCTTTTTGTCCACTTGCTCAAACGTAACGCGTTGTGGAAAATCAATTGGGAGTTTCGCCCGGAGTTCAAGGCTCGGCAGACAATTGCTTCGTTATACTTCTGATTTAGGAACCCGAGAGGAAATTTGCTAGTCTCTGTCAGGTTTGGATGTACAGTGTCCAGCGTTGTTGAGTTTGTGGAGGCCAGCCGAAATACCTGGACTTCGCCCTCTGGCCAAACATTTGGTTTAAAGAAACCTTGAAATATAATCCAACACGGCACTGAAAATGAGATAGTGATTGGAAACTCATGCAAAGTCAAACACTCGTATGAATGATATGATTCATCATTTAATTTCAGATTTAATTTAGAACTCGCAGGAGAGGTTTGCAAGAGCATCTTTACAACAGAGAGAAGTACAGTTCGAAGAAGATCTGCGAAGGTTCGGAGGTTCGAAGAAGATCTCACATGGAGCAGCATTTCGAGCCGTGGAATAATGTCGAGAAAGTTATAGCAATGTCTAAATAAAGTTCTTGTGTTTTAAAGATCTGCGACGTTGATCACTGAAGTTCAAGGCTTGTCACTTAGCCCCTAAGATACGAAAGTTTTAGTATTAAAAATCGTCACACCTTTGAGATGGTTCTAAAGCATAGTCTCTTTATATAATCAGCAAAGATTCTTATATTGCTCAGTGTATGTAAAAGATCACACTTTTTGGCCATTAATGCAATTGTAGTATGTTCTACGAACTGTTTTCTGGCACAAACATTCAAGAGTTCTGACAAGACCATTGTACTGTGCACTTACATGCTCCACTCGTTTTGCTTTGTAACGGTCATCATATGAGTGCTAAAAGAAGCTTGGGCACAACATCTTCCTGAGTGCATAAACAAAATTTTATTTGTTTTATTTATCCATTCTATTCATATTCATTTAAAGGGTATTACTCTCATCCAAATACATAAGGTACACATATGAATTTAAATTTAATTTTGGTTTTTCGAGATTCTACGATATTTTAATTTCTCTTTTCAATATTGATTCCAATGTGTAGTGGAAATAAATCGGTTATTTGTTATTAATACATAATACTTGAAGTAAATGTACAAAGTATATGATTTCATGCTTGAAATTGTTGTAAGAATTTAATAAAGGTTGAAGACTTGGAGTCGAGGCTATCACAATTTTTAATGAATCTTTGATAAAGACTACATAAAGACGTAAAACCTTATCTTTTAGAAAGTAATTTCTTTAAAAGAATAATTGACTTATCTATTAGTCCGGGAATTTGACAAGACAATTGTAGTATGCACTTAAAATGCTTCCATGCTCCACTCGTTTTGCTTTGTAACAGTCCAAATTCGAACTTTAAACCCAAAATTCCTAAAATCTGGTCATGTTTTTTTATGTAAATTGTTTGAAAGAGTTATTTCTTGGAAATCATTATTAGCATTTCTTTTCACTTTCAGTTCAGTTATCCCGATATTCAGTACTAAATCGGATATCAGATACTTCTTACTAACACACAACATGATGTACTGTAATTTGTTTATAGTTGTTTTGATATTATTTTAAAGATTAAGACCTTTGCATGCTTCTATTTTGAACAAGTTCAGAGCACGCAAGACTGTTAAATTTTTTAAATTTAAACTATATATAAAATCAAATTTTATGTTACCAAATCTTTTGATCTTAACATCGCTTGGGGCATATATGTTTTGAAAACACATCGATATTTTCCATAAAGATATCATCCAATTAATCAGTCAGCAACAACTGTTAGAAGTCCCCAACAAAACACAATATCTTTTGAACGTGAGTTCAACTTTTGTGTTCTAGTAAACAAACCCACTCCACTCTCGATCGTTTGAATATAACCTATGATTTGGTCAAATCTATCAAGCACTTTGTATACAAAGGAGATTAGTCAATTTCCTTGCATCAGCATTACATTTTTAATTAATTAAAGTTGTTTTGATGGTAATTTTTAAAAATTTCTTATTGTTGAAAACTCACAGTGATTCAGTTGTGATAGGATTTGTTATTTTTTTTTTGCATTTAAGATGAGATCTACTTCTGTGTACGTTTGGGATTTCTTCTGTGAGTGACCGAAAACTTTTCGTTATTATTCTTAGTCTTTGGGATTTTTTTCTTCTCTCAGTAATTTTCATTTACTGAATTAGCCATTGCTCCTCACTATTTATAAGCATATGCGA